CGAATGCTCGTGTAAACGCGCGCCATCTATCGTAGGATAAATGTACTATGCCAAAAACCTTCGCGGGAGTGTATTAAAAACTTTCCGAAGTTTTATGGCAATCGTACTATGCCACAAACCTTCGCCGGAGTATATTAAACAACTTCCCAAAGTTTCACGGCAATCGGATAAACGGTGTGGTAATGCATGAAGGACACACACACATTCATTTTTATATATATAGATTATATTTTAAAAACTTTTTATATATTATTAATTATTATAAAATAGCAAAAAGTTTAATTTTAAGTAGAGATGAGTTTTATAAAAATTGCAAATGCTAACAAGTAAAATCTTAATTAACCTTTCAACAGTGGAATAGTCAGGTATGGTGCTATCCCTTAGTAGTGGAGAATAAAAGTGCGAAATTTTTAGAGTATTTTTCCACACATTATTTCTCATTACTGTTTCAAAAAACGATTTTGTAAACAGTTATGTTTAGTAAAGAAAAGTCTTTTTTTTATTGTTACATAATTTATTTTTCATGTGAATTTTTTTTGGCACTAGTTTTTCGCTAGTTTTTTGGCGATACCCCTCAAAGAAGTTTGACAAATATATTTTCCACTTACTGCTGAATGGTTAAAGCTAACCCAACTCAAGATATGATACTTTACTTTTAACACCAAAATTTAATATCATTAATTTCCCAATACACAAACTTTCCTGCAAAATTTCAGAAATTTTCTACAAAAGATATAGGAATTATTGAGCTTTGAAGTGGGTGAATTGTGCACCCCACACAAATGCACATACTAACATCCATCCATATATATATACAAGAAAAACCCCAGTCTGTTTCACATTTCTCAACTTTTCAAGGTCACGAGTCCAAAAATGTAAAAATCTTAAAGGACCATTTTTTACTGATCACCACACTTTTCCTCTGTTATATATAACAGCCAGGAAAGTGTATAAAGAATTCTGGATGTACAGTATGTAAACACTAAAACACCAAATACTACAGTGGCATAAACTAATTTAATATAAATAAAATTACTTTAGTTTATTGTTATTAATGGAATGTTAGCACACAGATAATTATAACATTTTCTTACAGTGTGTGCCTCAGCTTTTAAATTGGTGTTGCATGTTCTCTTATCAAGGTAACAGAATGTTTACATCAAATTTTATTATTGCATAAATGTTAATTTAAAAAATAAACCAATTTTTTATCATCTAGGCCATTACATAGTGGCGTGCGGCTATAATATGACGGAAAAGAAAATTTTATATAGAAATCCCACGCTCACTAATAGTAAGTATTACTTTCTTACTGATTAAACTTAGTAATAACGTGCTTCAACAAAAATATTAAGAAACGAGATAAAAATATCCAATATCCATACATCGCTAGCTCTAAAAAAAATGCTTTTTAGTGGTGGAACAACAATTTCTAAGTCAACCACATTTGAATACATTCTATTTTCGATTTTGCCAAATGACAAACTTCTCAGTAATAATTGTAGACTGTAAAGATTTAAGAAAAAATTTGACAACATTCACTCTAATTTTAAGCTAGGTTGTAATTACATTCAATGCTATCGTCCTTGTTAAATGATATTTTTCACAAGTTAAATGGATGGATGGGCTTACCTAAATTTATGAGGGTGAGTCAAGCAGGAATGAATTTATTATTTACAAAATACATTAAGCAGGTTTCAGGTTGATATGGCTTTTTCCAAAGTTGTCTCCATTGAGTTGTGCTGGAACCCATGTTGGGCCTAGTGCATACATCTTCCAGGACTGGCAGACATCTTTTGATGTCATTTTCAGAACAGCCATTGGTGAGCCAAAACACTGACCTGCAGCTCCATTTTCAGATGAGGGAATAAAAAAAACAGTCATGCAGAGCAAGGTCCAGGCTGTATAGTGTGGGGGGCACACATTTGATGTTGATAGTTTGATACACATTTCTCATGGCCAAAGAAGACCAAGGTTGTTTGGTCTGCAGGAAAGGTAATAATAATTTCCTTCTTCAACTAATATGGAATGATATACCAACATAGAATCCCCCAAATACAACAGTTACTGGGCAGTATCACGTGACAGTTTTGAAGACCCTGGACAAATACATCTGATGAAAATGCCTTGAGCTTCATCTATCTGATTAATATTATACTCTGGCAATGCAAGGGTTTGCATTATTAATGTTGTTGCCCAATATTTGACCCAAAAAAGCGTCAAATATGTGTTCTTACAGCCCAGATCTTGCTCCATGCGACTTTCTTTTGTTCCCTCATCTTAAATCGGAGCTGTGGGACCAACGTTTTGGCTCATTAACAGTGGTTCTGATGATGTCCAGCATGTCTTCCAGGACTGGCAGACATGTTTGGCCAACTGCATACAACTTAGACCCTGCCTATTATTCATGATCAATAAATTCATTCTCACTCACCCTTGTAAATTCAGTAAGTTTTTCTGTTATCATCTAATAATTTGCACGTTCCATGATTATGTAAACTTTATTGGGTGGGGTGCATGGCAACTGTTGTTGCCAGGAAGCCAAACCCGAGGAGGATGTGTGGGTGAAACCTCATCTGGAACCTCTTAAAATTTGTATTCTCTTGCCATTTTTGACTGAGGATTAATCAAAATAGTCTTAATAAAGCCTCGGTTTATTATTGTAATCAATCATTGTCTAGATCTTACAATACTTCTATGTTAAAAGGATGTACTTACTAAATATTTGATATAATTACTTTGCTAGGGCATATTATGGGTAGGATCAACCCTATCCAGAATAATTGGAGGAGAAAATCTGATCTAACAAGATTTGAATGGTTCTACAATGTACATTTCCCTATGTGATGTGAAGGAAGTAATACAATAAACAGATACAAAATTTATTTTACTCTGGCATAAAATGTCAAACACAAAAATATTTTTTCATTTGTAATATTTGTACTATATAGCTCAATTCCAATAGGGGGAAGATATTTTGATCGTATTAATTCAAATATTCCATTTCCAGAAATATGCATCATGCCTTTTGAAGATTTTGATAAAGCAAGGAGAAGTTTTGGAACGGACGAAGATGTCATCTTCGTGTACAAAAACAGATGATTATGATTACGTTTCATAACTTTTAACAATTTTTTAATGAAAAAATTTTCTTTTAAAAAATTTTTCTGGGTTAACATTTTATAATTTGGAAAAAATACATTTCTTCCTAGCAACAATTTACTTAGAATTGAAACTGTCCTTTCAGTTTAGGCACTTCTGTTTCTTTGTACTCCCAACGATTCACTCTCTGATAACGTAGGGTTCGTAATCCGGTTGGACGACCTCATAGAGTGAGTCGCTGTACAATTCCAGACGTTGAGTCATCTGCAAAATAAAAATATCAAAAGACTTACGGAGCAGCCATAGAAACTTCTGTATGTAAATATATTTTTTATGTATACGAGATATTGTTTTAGTATATTCATAGTCATATTTTTTTTGTTTAAGCTTTACATCTTAATAAATTTTGAATAACAATAAATTGGATTTAAATGTGAATGGAACCAAAAATCGTGCGGTCATCATTTTGGTGACAAAGAATATAAATCATCACACATACTAGTAGTGATTTTTAAGTTATTCTTGATCTTCATACAATATGCTCTAATGACATTCATGTTTTTCTTTCAGATTTAAATTTCCAGATAAGTTATTCACAACAAGAAACCAATTTAACCCTCTCTCAATTAATTATAACAAAAATATACTTACTCTGAAACCCCATTTATCTTTTATCTGTTGGCATAGATTCAAGTCCATTTCAGCAATCAGTAGACCATCCTTCAATCTAGACAGACCCTAAAAGTGATGGAAAATAAATATAAATAGCCAGAGCATTTTTCAATAATAATAATAACTCTCCCGTGATCACCATCTGGTGGTGGTGGTGGTGGGAGATCCCAGTAATTTTACTGATCCATAAGGCAATGCAGGCTGGAGCACAAGCTCCTGGTAGGAACACCCATGCCAGTGAGGGGGGGAAATGAAGTTAAGAGTGACCACATCCACATTCTGTAGAGATATTTATCATGGTAGTAACCATATCTAAGTATGATACTGGCTCTGAAGTCGCCCGGGTTAACAAGGTCCACATTTGTGGGTTAGGCAGAGGCTCACATTCAAAAAATAGGCCACAGTCTCCCTTGGTTACTGGTGGTGAAAGCAGCAATGTCCCAAGCATGGCTACTGCAATGCCCTCAACAGATATCAAGGCTAGGTTGATTCCTCATGTTTCTGTGGCAATGCATCCACAGACCAAAAAGGCTGGAAAACCACGCCAACGGATGAAATGAATGAGTTTATCATCCATACTTACTATACCATCACAAGACTCGAAACAAACATGACAGCATACAGACAACAACTACACCATAGATTCACACAACAATATCCTCACCTCACTGTCACCGAACAAAGGGTTGTTGATCAAAAAAGAACAATTATACACAACAACCTTATTCCACAAACAACACTTGAACTTATCAAACGACAGGTTGCTGATCAAATACATCAACAGACACTTACATTTAACACTATTAATGAAGATCACGTAACCTGTCAGGATAATCTAGCAACAAGCATTGATAATAGCATACATACAACAACTACCACTAATGATACTACAGACACTTCCTCATCCATCACTGATAACATAGATATAGATTTAGTTAATACACTCTCACTTATATTTCAGGAAACACTCACTAAATATACAGGCACAGATCCCACACAAAGACCACGAATACCGAAAATCAACACGTCAAAGGTAGTAGGAAAAACACTAAATTATGTAAACACTCACTTACTACCAAACTACATTCATTCAATTTCTACACTCTCAGACATTCATACATTAGTTTATGCTGGGGCAGTCACAGTAGTAACACACCATGGACTGAAAATACAATCACAGACAGACACACACAAAACACAATCCTATCACAAGCCTGCCTGGCAGAGAAGAATAGAAACACAAATAAATGACATTAGACAGCAATTAGGCAGTCTGACACAATACACTAAAAACAACATAACACCCAAATTAAACAAACAACTCAAAAACATTTTTAAGAAAATCAAAACAAACACAAAACATGAACATCACAACCAACGCCATAACTAGCCTTTTATGTGCCCAGTGCGAGCTTCTGTAACTACGCTCCAAAACTATGACCCAAAGCTTGGTCCAGGTCATTTCTGTGCCCTCAGGGTCTGCACTCTGTGCCCGGACACCACTGGCACTGCCCTAGTTATGGCACTGATCACAACACACATATTACAGAATACATTGATACACTAAAACAGAAACTCACAGCCATAGCACATAGACTCAAACAATACAAAACATGTACACTATGAAAACAACAAAATAAGTTATTTACAAGCAATGAAAACACTTCTACAGACAAATTAGTACCAAAACAAACACTGATGCACAGCACAGTGGCACACCAACAGAAGAAGAACTCACAACTTATTGGTCTTCTCTTTGGTCCAATGCTGTGAAGGCTGGATCAAGGAGGAGAACAGAAACTTGCACAACATACCAACTATGCCCTGTGCTGAAATAAATGTACACGACATCTGCTAACAGAACACACAACTGGAAGACACCTGGTGTAGACAACATTCACAATTTCTGGTACAAAAAATTTACATCACTGCACCAGGAACTAGCTAAACATCTAACACACATCATCATAAATCTACAAGACATGCCAAAATTTCTTACTTGGCATCACCTACATGAAACCTAAAAATAACAACACCACAGACCAATTACATGTCTTCCAACACTCTACAAATTATTGACATCCTGTATCACAAACAAAATATACAAACA